AATTATTACATTCCATGTAGTATTACATGATTACTTTAGAAACACAGATTTTGGTAGAGCAAAGTTTCTGTTGTGTTAATTATGAAAGATACATTAATACATAAGTTTATAGTAAAATGCCCAATCAGTTTTCATTAAAAAAACTAAGAAGGCACAGGATGTATATGGATGGGTGGCTCATAATACGTAATTGCCTTTTCTGCCCCTCAGATACTTAATGAAAAAGAAAAATTTCTACCAAAAAACCCACTAAAATATAATAAATCTATAAAAAATCATTTTGAAGGTCTATGAGCAATTAAAATGTTTTTAAAAGACATTAAAACAATGGCTTTAACTTGTTAGGCTTTTGAAAAATTTAATAGAATGCACACTTAAAATTTGTGCATTTCATTGTATATAAATTTTACCTCAAAGGACAGAGAATGGTGAACAAATGTTGAACTCTTGTCAATGATAAGCACACAGTGTATTTAAGGGGAAATGTACTGCTTCTTTCACAACTTACTTTGAAATGAACTTAAAAAGGAAATGAATACACTTGAAACAAATATAAAATGCTATTGAATATCAACTGTAATTTTTTAAAAAGTAAGTGAATTGATGGATGAGTAGAGGTACAGATACATGGATATATATATATATATATATATATATATATATATATATACCTCTACTGTCGGTAAACAACTTGCTTCCCTATTTATAATGGTCTGGCCCTCTAGCAACTTCAGCGCAAAATTATAGTTAATTTGCCTACAAACGTCAGGTGGTCATACTAATCTGGCCACTCAGTGTATATTAAAGCAGGCAGAGTCAAACATTAATGGAGAGTATAGGAGGTGAGTATATGGGTATTCCCTGTTCAATCTTTCAACTTCTGATGTTTGAAATTTTTGCAATAAAACATGGGAAATTTAAAAAAATCTGTCTAAAATATTGATACATAATTTCTAGAGCTGGTTGATGAGTAGTAGATGGGGGCTCTTTACACTATTCTCTTTACATTTGCATATATTTGAATATTTCCAATACAAAATGTTAAAAATTGGTTAATGATTTGAACTTCATTTTACTTGTTATTTGTGGGAAATAATTTTTTGGGAGATTATTTTTAGGCTTGTGATCTTTTTCTAATAGCTTCATTGAAATAAAATTCAAATGGCATAATGCACCTATTGAAAGTGTAAAATTCAATGGCTGTTAGTGTATTCACAGAGTTGAGCAACCACTGCCACATCCAATTTTAAAATATTTGTATCATCCCAAATAGAAACCCTATACTCTTTAGCAGTCACTCCCTTTTCCCTCTGCTCTGGGTAGCCACTAACCTACTTTGTGTCTCTACAGATTTGCTTATTTTGGACATTTCATAGGCATGAAATCATGCAATATGTGATCTTTTGTGACTGGTTTCTTTTACTTAGTACAATGTTTCAAGGTTCGTCATGTCGTAGCATGTATCAGTATTTCTCCCCTTTTTTATTGTGAAATAATATTCCACTGTATGGATATACCACTTTTGCTTGTCTATTATCAGTTAATGGACATATGGTTTGTTTCCACTTTTGGCTATGAGGAAAAATGCTGCTATGAACGTGCATGTACAAGTTCTTGTGTGGACATCTGTTTTCATTTCTCTTGGACACATACCTAGGAGAAACTGGAATTGCTGGGTTATATGGTAACTCTGTTTAATTTTTTGAGGAACTGTTAGCAAAGTGGCTGTGCCAATTTTCATTTCTACCAGCAGTGTATGCGGGTTTCAATTGCTCTACAGCCTCACCAACATTTGTTACGATCTTTTTGACTATAGCCATCCTAGTGTGTGTGAAGTGTCTCTCACTGTGCTCACTATGGGTTTTATTTCCCTGATGACTAATGATGTTGAGTCTCTTTTCATGTGTCATTTTTATATATCTTCTTTGGAAAAATTTCTATGTAAAAAACATTGTGATGAAATACATATAACATATCCCACTGTAACCATTTTTGAGTGTACCTTTTAGTGGTCTTAATTACATTCACAGTATGGTGCAACCATCACCACTATCTAATTTCAAAAGTTTTTCATCATCCCAAACCAAAATTCTATAACCATTTTTGCAAAAATTCCTCATTCCTTCTTACCCCCTAGCCCTGGTAGCCTCTAACCTACTTTCTGTATCTATGCATTTATCTATTCCAGGTATTTCATATAAGTAAAACCATACAATATTTGTTTGTTTGTTTCACTTAGTATCATAGTATTTTAAGGTCCATTCAAGTTGTAGCATGTATCCAAATTTCATTCCTTTTTATGGTTAATAATATTCATATATATATATTATATTACATTTTTAAAACCCATTCATCCGTTAATGGACATTTGGGTTGTTTCTACCTTTTAGTTATTGTGAATAATGATGCTATGCATGTCAGCGTACAAGTGGCTTTTGGAATCTCTGTTTTCAATTCTTTTGGAAATATATTTAGGAGTAGACTTGTTGGGCCATATAGTAATTCTATGTTCAACTTTTTGAGGGATTGCCATATTGTTTTCCACAATTCGGTTGCATCATTTTACATTTCCATCAGCAATGTACCAGATTTCTAATTTCTTCACATCCTTAATAACCCTTGTTATTTTCTATTTTATTTCTTTGCTTGTTATCGAAGATAACAGCCATCCTAGTGGGTGTGACATGTATTTTATTGTGGTTTTGATTTGCCTTCTCTAACGACTGATGATGCTGAGCACCTTTTTGTTTGCTTGTTAGCCAGCAGCACACCTTCTTTGGAGAAATGTCTAGTCTAGTCCTTTGCCCATTTAAAAAAATTGGGTTGTTTGTTTTTTTGTTGTTGAGTTAGAAGTGCCTTTTATATATTCTGGATATCAGATATATGGTTCCCAAATATTTCCTCCCATTCTGTAGGTTGTTATTTCACTTTCCTGATGGTGGCCTATGAAGCACTAAAGTTATAATTTTGCTTAAGTCCAAATTACCTATATTTTTCTTTTGTTGCGTGTGCTTTTGTTACAGGATTCCAGGGCAGGAGGAATAGGGAAACTGAGACAGGAAAGTTTAAAACAGCGTGGGCAATGTGCAGCCAGCTTGTAACTAACAAGCCATTATCTTCCCCAGCCAATGGTTAAAAAAAAAATCCACCTCTCTAAGGAGAGAATGCAGAAAGGGAGGGGGAAAGGAGAAAGAAAAAAAAAAAGGCAGTTTTACTCCCTAAAGAGAAAAGCCAATAGTCTCAAGGCTTGGCAAGATCAAGTTGCCAGGTGCTTCTCATGAATTCTGGGAAGGCCACAAGAAAGTAAAAAGAAGGGAACTGGAGAATTAATCTGCACCAAAATATTCAGCAAACAAATTTTGAAGCCTACAGACAGGAGGGTATGTAACGCCTCAGACCCTCACCCACCTCACTCTTCAGATTAGCGGAGAGCCCGCCTGAGCTTCCTAAGCCAGATGTATAGGTTTACTTTTTCAATAAAGGTGCACACTTTAATTGCTTTAATAAATTGGCTTTTCACAACTCAGTCAAGGTCTCTTGTATAAATTCATTTATATGAGAAGACGAGGCTCAAGGTTGGGAACAGCCCTCTCCCACTGACTCAGGGAGCTGTCTGGTAACACCTCTACACTTTTGTGACCACTTTTGGAAACCACTGCCTAATCCAAGGTCATGAAGATGGATAGCTATGTTTTTGTTTAAGTGCTCTATTTCTAGTTCTAGCATTTAGGCCCATGTATATTCTGAGTATATATTTTTGAATATGTTGTGAGTTAGGGAGGCTTATGATATTTTTATGTTGTGTTTTCAGTCTTTACCATTCAACAAAATACAATAAAAATTCTCTGGGAAGAGAAAGCTCAAGTGGGAAGAAGGGGCTTACTTTCAGCCTCTTCACTCGGGTTTGCCAGTCCTTGACTGGCAAGGGGCTGGCGTTTGGATTTCTTGCTGCCATGGCCCTATCTATTACCCTTCCCCACTCTCTATCTCTTTTCTTTTGCCCTTTCCCTACCTGCTCCTGATGGATTGTCCTCAGCTGCGTGGGACAGGCCTTGTGTTTTTGTGAGAACCTTGCCAGGCATCCTCATGGCCTCTGAGGGGCCTCAAATCCAAGTTCACAGGGAAGTGTTGAGCTAGGGCTGAGAAGATGTTCCTCACAGCACAGCTGCCTATACCTTTTACATTTCTTGTTAACTTTATGAAGTAGCAGTGCGGCTTTGAGGTACACTTGGCGTGTAACTTTTTAAAAAGTAAAGGCTTGTGGTGACTTTTTCTTTCTTTTTAAAATATGTTTTTATTCATTTCAGAGAAGAAGGGAGAGGGAGAGAGAGATAGAAACACCAAGGATGAGAGAGAATCATTGATCAGCTGCCTCCTGCACGATCCCCTGTGCCCTACAATCCAGGCATGTGCCCTGACAGGGAATCAAACTATGGCCTCCTGGTTCAGAGGTCAATGCTTAACCACTGAGACACCGTGGCCAGCTGTGTGGGATTTTTTCAGTGCCAGTAATAACCGCCATGCTCAGATTTGTCTGTGGAGCTCTGGAGTCTGCAAGTTCATGGTTCTTCCCACTCGTACTATTTTCTTTGTTTTCACTCATTGCTTGTTCTCACAGCCTCAGTGGGGCAATGTTATAATTTTTGTCTTCTGGCAGGGCAGCAGAGGCACAAGGAGCAGGAGATTTGTTCCTGTGACGTGCTCTCTCGGAGGGCCTACTAGCACGTCCAAGTGCTGGGCAGGATTCAGAGGATCAACGAACAACGCCGTCACTCAGTAGGTGTTTTACGTACTTAAGGCCAAACATCAGACACTTGGAAACATTTCGATAACTGACAGGATTTGTTCTCTTCTTTAAGATTGTGATTCTGAAAAGAAAATTTCCTGACTACCATCCCCAGATTTTGCCTGATGTCCCTGGTCTGGTGCCTTTAAAAAATGTTAACCAGTAAGAGAGGAATCAATCAAGTGCAGAATCATCACTATACAGGTGCTGGGGCTGGGAGTGGTGGGGAAAGATATAGAGATCACTTTATATTGCTATATACATCAATAGAGGAATGTGCCATCTAGTTGTGGTAATGAAAGGCCCACAGAATCGGAAGTGAAATAAATAACAGACAATAGGGCCCCGGGATCAGAAGTGGGAGGGAGCGCTTCAGGCTGAGATGGGGGGCAGGGGAGTTGAAGATTTCAGTAGGTGCGGAGAAGGGGTAGGACCCAGCGGGGAGCCAGAAATGGGCACCGAGCTGAGGCAGGAAGGGAGAGTGAATGCAGTGGCAGATGGTCAGGACATATGAGGTTAGCTGGGGAAGGTGCTGGTGCCAGGAATGGACAGAAAGATGGGAGATTCCAAAGCAGGCAGGGGTGAGCCCACAATTTAGGAACAAAGGGCTCAGGCCCTGTACACTGGGGGAAGGAAGGGGTGACGGGAGAGGTGGGCCACGCACTGCAGTTCAGTGGAGAAAGTACCTTTTTTCTTGGCAGGTCTGTCCCTTGCAGTCCCTTGAGCACTAAGTGGAGAAGGTCCTCGCTGCTTGAAACTGCCCTGCCCATGGGCATCCCTGGAGTGCGAAGCATGCACTATTATCAGGAGAGGGCTCTAGTCCCAACGCTACTCAACTTTGTCTTTGGAACAGGTGTTTGCACAGGGGTCTCTGAGCCTGGGGGTTTGAAGTGCAGTGCTATGAAAAAGACGCGCAAGTACATGCTGGTCCCCCTCCCTCCCGGGGGCCTTCTAATTGGCCTCCCTCTGCCCTCCCTTCTCACCTGGTGCAAAGCACAGCCCCAAGAAAAGCTGCCCTCTCCCTTGCAACTAGCTATATGGTGTTGTGCAACTTCTCTGGGTTAGAGGAGGTAATTAACTGTTTTGGTTTAAAAGCCCCCTGCTGGGTTGCAGTCTGCGTGGGAGAATAAAAATAAACAAGCGCGAAAGGGAACAGTGTCATCAAAGGACTCGGAACCTACCTTTCTTCATTCTGAGGGTGAAAGCACTGCTGTTGGCCACAGGTGCCACGGATTACCCACGCAGGGCTGCGTCCACTGGCCTTTCATGCGTTTTTTAAACAATAAATCAAGAATGATCGGCTCATAATTTAATGAGGCAGCCTTGCCATGGTTCCAGATCCGCATCACCTGTCCTGGCCGGAGCAGTTTGACTGTGACTTTCTTTAGTTCTCAAGCTGGTTTGAGGAACATTGCTAGAAATGATCCAAATTTGTCCCCTTAATGTAAATATCAAGAACCAGGTGGGTTAGGGTTTTTTTTGTCTGTTTTGTTTTTAAGCCAAAGCCTCTTCACTTCTATGGAGGAAAACATTTGTTTCCCTGGCCATCACCAAATTTTGGAGGCGAGCTGGGCCCCTTCCGTCCGAGGCCACACTCAGGTAGGTTCTGAAGGGGCTGGCGTGCTCGGGGCTCCTGTCTGCGTGCCAATTGCTTCAGCAACACTTCTCCAAGGTGCTGACACAAAGAATCTTGTCTCCGTAAGTAGGAGGCTGTAAAAGCTTACAGAGAGAAGGAGAAATGTCTAGTGCTGAGGCACAGAGAGCCTTGCAGTTAAACCGGAGTTTGTGCTGGCTGCAGGGCCAAGCCTTGTCCTCCCATTGTGGAGAGGACGCTGTAGTGGGGGCAGGGCAGCGTCCCACACAGATTTCTTTTATATATATTGATTTCAGAGAGGAAGGGAGAGGGAGAGAGAGATAGAAACATCAATGATGATAGAGAATCACTGATTGGATGATGATAGAGAATCACTGATTGTCTGCCTCCTGCACGCCCCCTACTGGGGATCAAGCCCGCAACCCGGGCATGTGCCCTTGACCAGAATCGAACCTGGGACCTTTCAGTCCACAGGCCGACGCTCTATCCATTGAGCCAAACTGGCCAGGTACCACACAGAATTCTTTTTCTTTTTCTTTTTTATTTATTTTTATTTTTATTTTTTCCCCCACACAGAATTCTTTACATTCCTCAGTGCTGATCAGCCTTCCTGTCAGCCCTGAAGAAAGAAATCAGGTAGCTGAGTAAGCTCTGTGATGGCAGAAAGAGACCGTAAAGAAAGATTTCTTGCATACACTGAACTGGATCATTATCCTCCCAAACTACTCTGAAGGTAGGTGAGCTTTAAAACGAAAAGGAGTTTTGAAATTCTCCGTAAAATATTACCAGTTGGTTCTCTCTTTGCATATTTTTATTTCTGTTGCTCAAATATATATTCACAACCTCGTTTTATAGGAGCTAATCATTTGTTTTTCATGGTTTGTTGTTTGTCTTGCTTCCTAATTATTTCCTAAGGAAAGTGGTACTTGAAAAAAAGTTCTTTTAGATGGCAAATTTACAGGTATTTTAAAAAGTAGACCTTCTGCACTGTATTCTTTACCTATTTTATTTTATTCTAAAATCAACAAGGAAAAAAAAGAAATATATAATGTGGAAAAGAATAGAGGGTGATGATGGCCATCAGAGTATTATGTACATATGGCAGATTCTGCCCTTTATGGTTTGGTTACAGGGAAGAGTCCAAGCCACACAGAAGGAGGTTTCTCTTTGTGGTCTATTGGAGCAAGCCACAGTTCCTCTGGATTTGGGTACCGTGGAGAAGGCGGCAGAGCCCAGTGTCATCTGACCTAGCTCAAGAACACAGATCTTCTATAATTAAATGTCTCCCTCAACAAAATGCTAATAAAACAATGCAATGGCTGCACCACACTTGATTTTCGTTGCGTTTTACACCTCTTCCTCTTGCCAGCTCTTCAGGTTGACTTTCTCGGCGGCTTCGTGCCTTCGCTGGTGCCAGGCAGGCTCACTGCAGAACCACTGGGGCTTTCTTCCCTCTTTTTGCGCCCAGTAAATTTTCATAAACCATTTAACGTGAGAACAAGCAGGTTAATTTCCCGTGCCGGTGAGCCAGGCTCTCGGAAGGCTCTCTGCAACACTGCCGTGTTCTGGCGTCAGAGTCAGAGGCCTGGGTCCCAGCGGCCAGGATGCTTGCCAGCGCCTTCTCCGTGCAGACACCAGGTGTGATTTAGCATAACAGATTGTGGGGACGCACAGCGGCTTCGAGAATCCATGCGTCAGAACCAAACTGTACCCTTCGTGCGAGACGAAGAGGAAGTCTCATGGGCTAGAGGTTCTGCCAGGAAAGGCCTCTGGACAAACTGGAAATGGGAAAATCACTCCACCTGGCATCACACACCTGGTTTCAGGGACATTAAAATTCTTCTTAACGATATCAGGACCCGTTAAAGGCCTCCTCATATCACAATGCTGTTTTCTTCTAATGGTAGGCAGTGAGAAGAAAAGATTATATATATATATATATGCAAAAAATGGAATTACAATTGACCTTGAACAATGTGGGGGCTAGGGGGGCCAACCTCCATGCAGTTGAAAATCCAAGTATAACTGTTGACTCCTTAAAAATTTACTAATAGCCTACTGTTGACTAAGAACCTTATTGGTAACATAAACAGTTGATTAGCACATATTTTGTATATGTATTCTTACAATAAAGTAGGTTATAGAAAAGGAAATATTAAGAAAATCATAAAAGAAAATACATTTACAGTATTCACTGAAAAAAAAATAAGTGTACCTGCACAGTTCACATCTGTGTTGTTGAAGGGTCAACTGTATAAGGAAAATTTAAAGCTCACTGAATTTTAAAGCTCATCGATTATGTACCTAATCAATGCCTAAACCATGCATGAAGCCTTGGTGGACAGTGACTCTGAACACAAGGCTCCAGGTGTCAGCCCTTGGGATGCTGCTTAGGGAAGACTCTCAGGGAAGAAGCCAAGCTTTGAGGCCAGCGCAGTGTAGACCCCAGAGATGAGAACAAGCTACCATGTCGACAAGCTTCGTGAGCCTCAAGAAGAGGACAGGTCACCCACAGGAGAGAGGCTGAAGTCACATGGAAGATGGTTTTAGGACAAGCTTAGCAAACACAACTGCTGGAATCACCAGGCTTTCCGTTCAGACCATTGCCATGGGCAATTTAATGCTTCGTGATGCACAATTAGGTAATGGAGAGGACCAATGGGGTCCCAATGGCATCCCAATGCTGAGTAATATGGCTTTGGAGTGAAGTATATGTGCTCAAATATCCTAAATCACTTGATAATGATGATACACATGTATACGGTTCTTTTTTAAACTTTTTAAAGGGCTTGCTCTCATTTGCCCTCACAGCAGTTCTGAGATGTAGACAAGGCAGTTTTTTTTTTAACATATTTTATTGATTTTTTTACAGAGAGGAAGGGAGAGGGATAGAGAGTTAGAAACATCGATGAGAGAGAAACATCGATCAGCTGCCTCCTGCACACTCCCTACTGGGGATGTGCCCACAACCAAAGTACATGCCCTTGACCGGAATCGAACCTGGGACCCTTCAGTCCGCAGGCCGAAGCTCTAGCCACTGAGCCAAACTGGTTAGGGCTAGACAAGGCAGGTTTTATTCACCATGTTTGCCTGAAGAACATGCAGGTTATAAGACGTAACTTATCCAGAGATCGAACAGCTAGACAGCAGTTGAGGTGAGGCAGAACTCACGTGTTGGCGCCCAAGCTGGTGCTCTGTCTGTGAAACCCTCATTGCATCTGGGTCTGTGAGTTACCCAGTAGCCTATAATAAACTATTTTGTTTCTGCTTAAAATACATATTTTAAATATATACTTTATTGATTTTAGAGAGGAAGGGAGAGGGAGAGATTGAAACATCAATGATGAGAGAATCATTGATTGGCTGCCTTCTGCACACCCCTGCTGGGGATCGAGCCCACAACCTGCACATATGCCCTTGACTGGAGTCCAACCTGGGACTCTTCAGCCTCCAGGCTGACGCTCTATCCACTGAGCAAAACCAGCCATGGCTTCAATAAAAGTATATTAATTAAAAAATTAAAAATAATAAAAATCACTCACTTGGAAATAAAGAAATCCAATATTGTCACAAACATTATAAGCTGTTCATCTTCAAATGTGAACTAGTAAATTGATTAACAAATTCTTAATTTGATATGTGGGAAAACAGTCACTAAAAGATGTATTGAGACAGAGCTCTGAGATAAGGCCAACAAAATCTGGCCAAAAGAACAGATAGTCAACGGATAAACGTGTAATAAAACAGCAGAATATTATTGCTACTATTGCTCTATGAAGCTGAAATACCCTAAAATGGAGAAGTTAATGAACAGTGTGGATCTGGTACAGAAACAAAGTTACCAAAACAGAGTCAGGGAAGGAGAAATATAAAAATGAAGCCCCTTTCTCTGGCAGTGGGGTGTTTCCTTCTATAAACCAGTCTTAAGAAAACAGCAGTTCATTCAGGAGGTGGTATTTATAGACAGCTATTATGCAGGCAAAAACATGTTTATTTCAGAAGAGATCTAAGATTGCTATTTAATAATATTATTAATGTTCTATGTCAAGTGTTCCGTGATGTTAATAGGAAAAAAGATACTGGAGTTCTTGATGAATGATGTCCATCTTTTTAAATTTACTCATCTGAAGTTTAGTTGTCTAGGGCTGCCATAACCAATTACCACAAACTTGGCTGCTTAAAGCAATAGTGATTTATTCTCTCACAGCCCTGAAGACCAGAAATTTAATATCTAGTTGTCTGCAGGGCTGTGCTCCCTCCCTAGATAATCTTTCCTTGCCTCCCCCAGCTTCTGCTGGCTGTCAGCATTCCCTGTGGCTGCATTACTCTACCCTCTGACTCTGTCTCCATGTGGCCTTCACCTCTGAGCATCTCTTATAAGGACACTTGTCATTGGACTTAGGGCCTACCTGGAGGATCCAGGATGATCTCATCTTGACATCCTAGCTACACCTGTAAGACCCCTTTTCTAAATAAGGTTGCATTTACTAGTACAGGTTCCAGGGATTGGGACGTGGTCATATCTTTTGAAAAGCCACCATTCAATCCAATACAGGAAGCATATTCCATGACTAGGGGATTGAATGGTTCCTTAAAAGAACTAATAGAATATAGTTTTAATAAAGGTGAGTTCTCCCTTTTCCATTCTTCCCTCTCTAAATACTACATGATAGAGCACAGTGTGGTTTAGAGCCATATTCTGTCGCCCCATTCATTCCATGCATCAGTGCCTATTCTCCCTTTTTGCCTCTCACCTCCACCACAAGAGCAACTGTTAAGGAAAAGAGGAAGGTGGTGCTTCTGAGTCATTGTCTTTAGGCCGTGTGCCTGGAGTAATTCTTTCTACCAAGAAATCTGGCTTTTCCATGTAGGCCTAGTCAATACTTTTCATCATCCAGAGAATGCATTTTTAGATGGTTGGCTAAGGTTTGGAATCATAAAATCATGCAATTTTAGGGCTGAAGAAAGCTCAGCAATTACTTAGTCATTTTAGAAACAAGGAGATAAAATTCCCAGAGAGATCAACAAATTACTGAAGGTCACTGAACATAATAGTGAATAGACTAGAACTCAAGTCTCCTGACACCTATTTAAGCACTTTTCACACTATCACACATAATACAGAATGTGTTGCAGAGCTTGCTCCTACATGAATTACTCTTAAGATATTGGCCTCATTGGTGTCATCCAGTGAGATAACCAACCTTCTATGGACTGAATGTTTGTGTCTCCCCAAAACTCATATGTTGAAGCTCTAACCCTCAAGGTATATAGGGGTGAAGCCTTTAGAAGGTAATCAGGTCATAAGGTTGGAGCTTGAGTGGGATTAGGGCCCTAATGAGAATAGATACAAGAAAGATGATCTTTCTCTCTGCCATATGAGCGCATAGCATGAAGGTAGCCATCAATGATCCAAGAAGTAAGTTCTTACCAGGAACCACACCATCCTGCACCTCGATCGTGGATTTCTCAGGCCCCAGAACTGTGAGAAATAAATGTTTGCTGTTTAAGCCACCCAGTCTATGGTATTTGTTATAGCAGTCGTAACTAAAAAAACACAACCCAATGGAATATTCCGTGCTATTTAGTGTGCTGTGGGCAAGTACGGCCGCTGCTCTCACAGAGCTTGCACATTCAGGTAGGTGAATGATGACAGTACCTGAAAGATGCAAGACTCTATGTAGTCAGGAGCACTGACCTCTTTTCCCTTAGATTCTCAAGTAAAAAATGACAACAGTCAACACAACAATAGCCGTCTGATGTAAATGAATCAAAATTATACTTTTTTTTGGTAAGACTGGCAAAAAAATATTTTTTGGTGTGCCGCAAATGTTTAGTAGCTAATTTACGTGTGCCATGAGATGAAAAAGGTGAAAGTCACTGCCTTAGAGGAAAGCTAAAGCAACTGGCATTACCATCTCCACTTAGAAGTATTCCTTATCTTGTCAGATGTCATCATTTGAGTCAAAAGCACTTCTTGGCCCAGAAAATAAGCCCCCTTACTTCTCCCTAGTGCTTAACTAGAGAATCAGGAACCCAAGGCCAACCATAACAACACAAAAAGCTGTTTTTTAAAATTATTAAATTCATCATTAAACTCCACAGAATAAAGTATACCTCTCAGGGACAGTAAAGCCATCAACTAGCTACTTGTAAATGAGAGGCATTTTCTAGTTGATACAGTGAGTGAAAAAGACCCATATGGCAAATCCTTTTGGCATAGACTTCTCTGCTCCGGCTGTCTAATATGTTTCTTCACTGCATTAATTCTTCTTATATCAGAACCATCGCACAATTTGCTTACTTCTCAGGAAGATAAAAACATAAAG